CAATTTGTTAGGCTTGTTTTACAGAGTCCATAACAGTTTTTAAATTTCAAAAATATTAACTTTGAACCAAGTTATGAGCATTTGAAGTTTAGACCAGCATGGCCTAGTTTTGGGTTTCTAGGCCAGAAACTTAAAATTGCCATAACTTGGTTCAAAAATGACATTTTTGAAATCTAAAAACACAAAAGTAAGTAAAATAGTTAGCTTGTCATTTTGATATACAACATGGCCTGGAAATCCAAAATTTGGTTTTCTAGGCCACCAACTTAAAATACTCCTAACTTGGCTCAATATTGATATTTTTGAAATCTGAAAACTGCTATGAACTTAGAATAGCTAGCCTATCATTTTAATAGACAGCATGGCCTAGAAATCCAAAACTTGGGTTTTTTGGTTTTCTAGGCCACCAACTTAAATTGTTCATAACTTGGCTTAAAATCGATATTTTAAAAAAATTCAAACTGGAATCAATTTGTCTAAAAGTGTAAAATTTATTTGTTACAACTCTGATTGAAATCAAAAAAGTTCAATGAATCAAAAATGGCATGGAAATTCTGGGTTCCCGGATTTCTAGGCCAACAAACTTCAAATGGGTGTAACCTGGCTGAAAATCAATGTTTCCAATTTCTAAAACTTGAAGTTTATAGAAGAAAATCAGAGATTTTCTTCAATATCAAAGAAGACATACCTTCGCATTCTTTCCAGCTAACTTAATAGCCGGTGGCAAGTTGGCCGTTTGCACTCTTTTCTTAATATCGCCAATTGACGACTTCAGCTTTTCGACATCTCTCAGCACGCCCTCTACATTCTCCCTAGATGGCGTATAAATCACAGCCATCCGAATCCCATTGGCTCTTCTGACAACGTAGCGTGCCAACGTTTCTACGACATCACTGTCGTTCCCAAGCGCGTCNCNNCNNTNNGCNCNCAATCTTTAAAATGCTTGTAATTTGGCTCAAAGTCAAAATTCTTGAAATTTAAAAACATATTTGAGATTGATATAGTTAGTTGCTCATTTTAACCGCTGATATTTTTATCTAACCAAACACCGTGGCCTAGAAATCCAATCCCTTGGATCTCTAGGCCACCAAAATTAAAACCATTGCTACTTGGCTCAAAATCGATATTTTTCAAATCTGAAAAAAATTCAATATATAAAAAAAAAATTCAAAATCTTTTGAAAAGTATAAATTTCAAATTTCTGTACTTTCAGCGCGTCGTTCAAGTCCTCACTGAAACCGCCACCACCATAGCCGACTGTCACGACATGCCAACGTATCTAATCGATGAAATGAACGATTCAGGAGGGGATACTACAGAATCAAGGAGTACGGTAAGTAGTACTGTAGATTTTAAAGAAATTAAAGTTTAAAAATTTATGATTCTTTGGGTTACTGTAGGCCAGGCTTTTCGGGGGCTACGACGAATTCGAACGTTTTCAAAATCGAACAGACTCAATGCGGAACAGTCTCTTTTTCGAACATGTATCAAAACAGAACAAGGACAGAATCGAACTGTTCCAATTCGAACTGTATCGGAGTCGAACAGTGCAAAATTGGAACGCTTTTAGCCACGGAGCGCGCTTGCATTTTTCTTCAAATTCTCGATTTTTCTCCAGAAAACTTTTCAAAAATACAAATCGTTCTCAGTGCAAATTTATTAGAAACAAAAAAAAACAACAAGAATATATCAGAAAATGTGAAATATTTTGACAATGTATTGTCTATTCAAAATAATCGCGCGGATGACGAGTAAAAAAACGTGTAGAGAGTCTCCAAACCTGTAGAGGCGCTGTAGAGATGCAGACATTTTCACTCGTTCACTCGCGCGATTATTTTGAATAAACAATATTAAGAAATGTTTACGAATTCACGGATTTTATGACGAATTTCCCATCGAAATGCTGTCGAGTAGCTGTATACCAGAGCATTCGGTGGAAGTGGTGAGTTTTCCAAAACTTTGATGAGTCTCTTGTCTCTCATGACATTACTCAATCTTCTACTTCTGTTGACCTGAAATGTAGGCAGTTATCTCTTTGCTACTTTCAAATGTCAGTAGCGACGTACTTGAAAATTGATGTCCAGGCGTAATTCTTCCTCCTTAACTTTCATCAAAAGATCGGACATCAAATCTCCATTTCCATCGTGTCATCGTCTTTGACTCCTTTCGCTTTGTAGATAATTTTTCTTTTAGCATTATATGAACCTGTAAAAATGATTGCTTTTCTTCTGCATATTTAATAGAGCTTATGCCAACCTGTAGCGATGGAAACGAGAGCGGCGTCTTCCATGATTCGCCATTTTCTTTAAATCCTGACGCGCTAGAAACGTCTTAAAAATTACTTTTATAGCGATGTTTGAATGCTTCCATTAGATTCTCCAAGCTGATACGCACATCGCTTCTAACAGAATCCTCGTCGTGTCTGACGTGATCTTTTTCAACAGTGAATGTGTTGGTGGCTGGGTCGTAGCTGTAAACGGCGTCACACTTGGCACGTCTCTCTCTCTCTCTCTCTCTCTCTCTCTCTGAAACAAACACAAATAAAATGCGAACCGGTCCGTTACGGACGCTTCGCGTTCGCGCGCGGTTGAAATAGGAACCGCATACGGACCGCACGCGAACCGTTTTCAGTAAATAGCAGTACATTATTCGGATTGATCTGTATCCTGTCCGTTTGCGAGCTCCGTCTCCG